AATATATAACACACAAAGAATGTTTGTATGTTTATTAGATCTAGACAATTTTCAGTTTCACTTCATGAACAGCAATCAGACTTTTTTTTAATGATTTCTTATTTTTTATCCAGTCGCGTAAATACTAATTCCCCTTCTCACTTTTGATATTTTTCCTAGCTGACCAAAATCTGATCAGCACGGACTAAGTGTATTTGAGTGCTAGGCTGTATGATGACATGACAACGTCTTTACTGTTGAGTATTTATAGAGTTTATTACTTTTCTGCGATGCATATTTCAATGAAATACAAGGTGTAAATCACTCGGCATGTGCACATCTTCGAATGGGTACAGTGGTCTATTTTCCAGGTATGAATAAGTTTACAGCGTTCGAGGCGTTCTCTCGGTATGCACCATTATATTTGCATATGGACATGCATATCAAATATGCTGGTTGTTTGTTCCATTCTTACAATAGATAATTGCAAATTGTTTGTACAATTTTTACTGTGAATTATTCCAAGTTAATTATGCTATATATCTGTATATTGGCATGCTTTTAAAAAACATGCACAACTATGTTTTTTTCTTCCAAACTTGCATTTATATTATTCAAAACGATACTTATAAATATCTTTATGACTGTTTTTATATCTGCTGTGGTTTTGAAATGTTTTCATCAATTCATGTTTTCCCAGATACTTTACTGTCGGAGATGTGCACGTGTCGATAGCCAAACCAAAAACTCACTCATGTGTAACGAGGGCATTGGGGTATATATTGTTACAATAAGACAAGGTATCTGAAAGAAATATGGCAGAATACGGCTAGGTGGTATGAAACAAGTCATACATTGATGCAAATGTTGCGCTTTTAAGAATTCATGTCAGCTTTAATGATAGTTTCATGCATGTAAGCTAGATTTTTGATTTATAGGATTAGTTTATTCATCAGTTTTAAGAAAAAGTGAGGAATCATTGCTTAAATGTAATTGATTAATGTTTTACATGCTTAAATATAGAATATCCAAGGTTGTACTCAAGATGTGGGGGCCAGGGAAATTCCCCATCTGTAATTACTTATTCCCCCTGTCATTCTGGCATTGCTTCCTCAAACCCCACTAGAGGAGGAATCCAAGACACCCTTCCACTTTTGAAATGTCCCCTTTCTATTTCAGTTCTTATGGACAAACCTGAATACCTGGTCACCTTAATAAAGATTTTAAATTTCAAGAATCATGCATATATCTCTGGTCCCCTTAATGATGGGTTAATGCATGTAAGCTAGATTTTTGATTTTTAAGGATGTTTTATTCTTCAATGTTAAGGAATAGTGAGGAATCATGTTGCTTAAATGCAGAATACCCAAGGTTGTTCTCAAGATTCAGGGGCCAGGTAAATTCGCCGCCTGTAATGACATAATCCCCCAGTTATTCTTGCATTGCCCCCTCAACCCTCACTAGCAGAGGAATCCAAGACAGCCTTCCACTTTTAAAATGTCCTCTTTTTATTTCAGTTCTTATGGACAACCCTGAATACCTGGTCACCTTAATAAAGATTTTAAATTTCAAGGATCATATATATATCTCTGGTCACCTTAATAATGGGTTTTATGCTAGATTTTTGTTTGATACATTTTCATTCACCAAATTGTACCACCAATTTTTTTCCTTTTGAGTTTTGCAGATCATTGTGACATTCTAGATGAAAATTGGGTATTTCATGACCTTAATAAAGATTTTTGAGTTAAATGAGTACTTGTATGAGGGTTGTCCAGAAAGTTCTTAGACAAATGCCATAAATTTCTTGATATTGACCACTCTGCCAAATGTTTACAACATAATTTTAATATAGACCATGATTTAGTAAATATATAAAAATTAAACAATATACACTATTTCACAAAAATTATAGTTGTGAATAGATTGTATATACAAGCTGCACAGCCCAGTATGACATTAAGTTAGTTTCATGATAACGTCAAGAATATGGATTTTGAATTTTTAGCTCACCTCAACGAAGTTGGGGAGCTTATGTAATACCGTCAGTGCAGGCGTCCGCATCCCAGGTTAAAGTTTTTGGAGCAGATTTCTTTTCAAGTACAGTCAAACCACGTTATCTCGAACTCAAAGGGACAAAGAAAATACTTTGAGATAACCAAGGATTTAAGATATTCAGGATAAAATACTTAAGGAATAAGCAGATGGGACTTCAAAATATAACTTCGACATATCCATGGTATTTGAGATATATCCGTGTTCAAAAAACAGAAGGTCAGCTGTACTTCTATGCCCTATTTAATCAGAGATGCATGAAGGATGCTTCTAGTATGTTTCATTATACCAGTCAAGATTTCAGATGCTGCAAATTCAGCTAAAAGGAGCATTTCCAAGTAACTATAAGCCCTATATTGACCAGACTTGCATGGATAATACATATAAGGATGCACACTACTGGACTTGCTTCAATTGCTGGATCTGACCTACATTTTCCAGATGAGTGATCAGATTAAAGTTTTTTAAGCAGGTTTCATTTCCAAGTAACTATAAGCCCTAGGTTGAACAAACTTGTACAAATGATACATCTTAGGATGCACACTATACTTGACTTCCTTCAGATGCTGAATATGACCTACATTTTCCTTCCGGATGAGTGACCAGGATAAAGTTTTTGGAGCAGATTTCATTTCATAGTAACTATAAGCCTGGTGTTAACCAAACTTGCATTGATGATACATCTAAGGATGCACATTACTGGACTTGCTTCAGATGTTGGATCTGACCTACATTTTCCAGATAAGTGACCAGGTTTAAAGATTTTTAACAGGTCCATTACCAAGAAATTATAAGGGCAATCTGGACCAAACTTGCATGATGATGCATCATGGGATAAACACTCTCAAACTTGCTTCAGATGGTGGATTTGACTTACATTTTCTGGATGAGTGACTAGTTTAAATTTTTTAGGTAAGTCCATTCCCAAGTAACTGCAAGCCCTATTAGACTAAAATTGCATAAATGTTACATGTAGGGATACAGACTACTAGATTATTAGTTTAGTGTGGGACTTTGCCTTACTTAAAGACAACATTCGTTGAGGTGAGCTCTGTTATCTCTTATTACCTATGATTATCAAGTATTTGTGGTGCACATACAATTTTTTCTTGATTTAGCCACATGCACTGCTAGTGTGTGTGTGATATTTACATATAGACCATAATGGAGTAAATTTCTAAAGTTCAATAAACGATAATTTAAGAGTATCATCAGTCCTGTATATAGCTGCAGAGCCCAATCCGATGTTGCGTTTTATTTATTACACATTATTATGCTTCCTGTCAGTTTGTCTCTATATAATCAATACCCAACTATTTTCGCATAGTGTTCTAAGGAATTATATATCGTAAACATACTATGCCGAAATAGCTAGTGCGTGGCTTCTTTTTCTGAAAAAAATCCAACAGCTCCCATGCCATGGATCGAACTCACGACCCCGACATCATCAGTCTGACTCGTTACCGATTACGCCACAGACAACATTGTCTAAAGCACTGTATTATAATATATATAAACTTAGTTTCAAATATTTTACACTTAAAGAAAAAAAATAAACAAATTATTTTCTAAAATAGTTTCTTGCAATTTTTCCCCTTCACTCAACTAAAATTCTCTGAAACTACATGTATCTGTACATGGATCATTCAAAATTAAAGAAAAAAGATGATGTACATGTAGCACAATGTGACGTCATGATAGGGGTGTACTAACATGAATGTAAGAAGTGATGAAACATTGGAAATGGAGAAGATGTTGTCGTTTTTATACAGCAGTCAGCATAATAATAACAATAGTGTTTTACTTTGCATGCACTATGCCTAAATAGTAGTCAGGGTTTGACACATAGTGCACTCGCCTCCGGCTCGTGCACCATGTGTCAAACCCTGACTACTATTTAGGCATAGTGCATGCAAATTACAACACTATTATATAATCATGTCATAATTTTATTTTCATCAAATAACAGTAACAGTAGTTTTCCACTTTTTGTACTGTCTTTCAAATTGTACTCTCCTTTGAAAAATCATATATACCAATTTCAAATCAATGACCTAAATATATTCTAATAATTTTTAGATGTTTGTCAATGAATAATTAGTTTGTCTCTGACATCGTTTCAACCATATTTTAGATAATACATAATTTTATGATTGGACGCTGTTCCATACGGATGGCCGACATCGCTTTTTCTGTCAATTTTTGAAACATATTTGTTGCAGTTTTTTCTTAAGGTCAAGAATTAGTAAATGAAAGGAGCCTACAATTTCTTTAATTTGAGAAATAGATTCCTTTAATGACTATAACTTGGTCAAATAAGGTGTATTGGGGCATAACTTTTAGGTAAACAAGATTTTAAAAAAAATCATATTTTAAGCTGTTATTTTCAGTGAATATGGGAGTTTTTTTCCATGTCAGACAAAGGAAATGTATCCAGATTGCCTAGTATACTGTCTCTAAGAAAACTGTAATTTGTATGTTCTTAGCCTTTGAGGTAAAAAGTTTAATTTAACATGTACCATATAGCTGAACTCAGACAATTAGTCACCAAAATATTTGTCTATTGATGACAGAAAAGTTGAATTTCTCTGCCATTGACATTAGGTGTGTAACAGGAAAATGCTGCATAAGCAAGAACAGGATTTGAACCCAGCCCTCTGTATCACTAATCAGGTGCTTTAGCATGTTTATTAACTGAGTGATCTGGCGATGGGGATCAAGCCTGTCTGATCGCCAAATTCCTCCCTCCTTAAATTGTATTTGCCCTTGAAGACACAACTCAAGTTCTTTTTACCCCTGGCAAGCCTTTTACCTGCAAGTCGAGGGGTGATCAATGGCACCAAATAAATATGGGATGGACCAAACCAGGATTTGAACCTAGGTCCCCTGAATCACTAGTGTAAGTTTCTTTTTAAAAGGAATAACATTTTAATACACATAGTAAATTAGAATTTCATTTTTTTCAGGAAATGGATAAAAAATTGGTATGTGTCGAGCAACTATAGCCACCTGATAGAAGGGTAAATTAGAAAGTTCAGATTACATTATGCCAACAGAGATGATAACAATGCCAACCAAGCTAAAAGTTGTCCAGGTTAGAATTATTTTTTTCAATAAATTACAATGTATGTACATTTAATATTTTCATATCAACTTACATGTATGAAGGTTGTTATTTTTTTATATACCTGTTGTGTAGGAAAACTTTTGTATTGGAGACGAGACAAGTTAATGACTTAATGATAGACTCACTGCAGAGAGAGATGTTGGAAAAGTGGATTTTGTTAACAAAAGGAAGATAAGGTAAAATATGAGAGGAGTTGTGAGTTTTGTATGACACAGTACTATTTGTTAACCAAAAAATTAATCTGAAAAATCTTGAGAAATTTAACTAAAGAAAACTTCATGAAAAGGAGCACATGCACATAAGGGGAAGCAACCTATTGAAAATTATCTTGCAGCTGTTCTCAGGTCAAAAAGTGATTTAGGATTGATAACTTGTATGCATATACATGTATATAAGGAAAATCTACATAAGAGAAGAAAGGGGGTGCATCTAGATAAACAATTTTATTTCTCTATGTTAAATAGCTGACATTGACTGTGTTCTTGATTTAAAAAAATACGTACATATGTTGGGGTAACTTCAACTGAATGTTAACATCTACTTTAGTTCATCGAAACTTGTGGACAGGATCATATGATCCTGCATGTACTATTTAAGCCTTGATTTTTTTTTTTAACTTAGATGCTTAATTCAGCTTTGACAACTGAGTGTGTTGAACATCATTATCAAAGATTCCATTCATTTAAGATTTTATGTTGGTTAAGAAATGTGTCATTTAGGGAGATTTGTTTTTTATACATGTGCGTAAGTTATTTTGTAATTATTTTATAGCAAAGTAAATTTTTCAATTATGATTGTTCTAAGTTTTAGAGATTAATAGAGATTTTTCTTTTCTTTTTTTTTTTTACAGATCAAGGCTGCCAACCTTTGAGAGATACACTTCAAAAAGAGTGTTTAAATTCAAGACATTCAGTCACAGTACTCTGTAAATATTATAAAGTAAAAGTTATTTATTTAATTTGGAAAAGCATTTGAGAAACAGAGGATGTGAAAAAGACTTTGTCCATTTCAAGCTATCTGTTGTCAAGTACCAGGAATATGTGGATTTTATTCAACAACTTTATTATGAATTTGAATAGCAACTTTCAATGTCTGGAAGCTTTTTTATCAGTAGGGATGTAGATGTGAAATTATATAAAAATTATTTTTTAAAAGATATTAATCAAGAAAATTTTTGTAGATTAATAACAGGTAAAATTTGTAATGAGAGATCTTTTATTGATCATTTGCAGTAGTAAGCGACAGTTGTTATAATTATACCCCCACTCTGAAGTAGGGGGGTATTCTCATTTACCCTTGTGTGTCTGTCTGTAACAATTTTTTGTCGCAGTTTTCTCAGCAACTACTCATCAAAGATGCTTGAAATTTTGACACTCTCTTTGACTAGGCATGCCATATTGTGGGATTCATGAGAGTGTATATTCACATCAGAGCGGGGGTATTACTAGTGAGCATTGACTCACAGACTTCCTGTTTGCTGAAGTTTGTGTTTGACTTTCATGTCTTTAACATGATATGGCTTAAGGATATGCGCAGTATAGTTTGAACTATATTTTCTTATTCTCTCTATAATTTAAGAAATCCAGTAATTGAAAGATCTTTGTGCAAATTTATGATACCTGGTAATGCTTGCACACCTTATCTGAATCAAATTTTGAAGAAAATACCACATAAAACATTTTTTTTGGGGGGGGGGGGGGGGGATTTTCTTTTAAAAAATGCAAGGGTTTTCATCATTTGATATTTTTTCAAAACTCCTGATACATGTAATGTATGCTGATTTTTTTGTCAAAGAACACCTAATGGTATCATGATTTTCAATTATATTTTCTCTGAAAATTTTCAGTTGGAAGGTTCACTGTAAGGTGCATGTACATTGCATATGACCTTAAAAATACTGTGGTGGCAAAAGACAAGAATTTTTTTTTTTTCAGTTTTGGTACATGTACTATATTATTATTTCTTTAACCTGTCAATTTTAGATCAAATGAATAAAGGTTAAAAACTATTATTTGACTCTTTGTTTTCGTGAGTTATCTAGAGCAGGCTCGTAGCAACAGTTTCAAAAGAGAAAAAAAAACCAAACTGACCAAAATTGGGGGGGGGGGGGCTCCCCGAAATTATCTGACAAGCAAAAAGAAAAGGTGATTTACTGTCCAAATCATGGAATTTGCCAGCGCTGGACCTTACAACATCAAAAAGTGTGTGTGTGTGGGGGGGGGGGGGGGGGGCATCCAGCATCTAAAGGGAAACTTACTATAGCAAAATACTATAACCCCCACCCCCCACCCCCCGCATTCTACGGGCCTGCTAGAGACATCTAATAGTCTATTTTAATCAACATGTGAATGCAAATTTCAAATGGTTTATCAACTAATATAGATAGATGTATGTTGGAAAGGACCAAGAGAATTTTGTAATTACATACATGTACATTATACAGCTGACCATATGGTCTGAAGTTGACATTAAAAATTGCAAAGTTGTAGAGTAAAATCAAAATTTGTGCTCCAAATTTTGTGATGACAGTGGCATTTTTCTTTTTAAAAAAATTTATGAGTTTAAGTGAGCTTTAATGATTTTTATCTCACATGAGCTGAAAGCTCAAGTGAGCTTTTATGATCACCTGTTGTCCAGTGTCTGCCCATCTGACTATCCACTTGTCTGTAAACTTTTCACATTCGACTTCTCAGGAACCGCTAGGCCATTTTTAACTTAGTTTACTTATGGGGGGCCCATAAGTAAACTAGCGCATGTGAAACTACTATTTGCAACTGTCAAATAATTGTGTACCTCTAAAAATACCCATTATTATATATTATACATTTCAAAATTATAAAGACCAATAGCGCTTTTGAATTAGATTCAGCACGTACTGTTGAATTGGGTTCTTTGGATATAGGAAAGGGAATTTTTTTTTTCCAGATATTGTGTGTTGTTTTACTAAAATTTACCTTGAATTTGTTACAAAATTTTATTTACACACGTTTTTCTATACATTTGCTATCTCCAGGTCATCGCTCCACGATTTTAAAAAGTTATTTGTGTGTATCAAACTATTGACATTAAAATTTTAGATCCCTAAAAGCCTTTTCTCGACATATTCAGCCATATTTTGTTTTTAAAAACTAGAAATAAAATTGCAGTTTTGCTAAAAATTTTATTTGAAACATTTTTGCGTATCGGACAATTCCCTAGTGTTTGGAAACATACTCATGTAATTTCTGTCTTTAAAACAAATTCATCAAGTTAATTACATACCGGCATCCTTATTATGCTGCATAGGAAAAATCTTTGAAAGAATATAATGTTCAAATACTTTGTAAATTGTTATACAAACTACATTATGGCAGGTGCGTAGCCAAATAAAAGTGAAGTATACGAAGAGGACGACGGGGATGGGGTGGGGGTTAATTTCCAGTTTTCACAAAAAACTATATTAAAAATATTATCAAATTAGCATGGTTTAACTATGCTACAACAAAAAGTGGATGGGGGCAACCACCCTTTCAGTGAACATTTTCAATAGTCAAAAGTTAGGTTTGGAAAAGAATAGGCAGGGAACCCTCCCCCCCCCCCCCCCGCCCATACTACATGCCTGCTGGTGAGGGCCCAGAAGTTTCTGAGTTTTACCAAATACATGTATATCATTCATTTTCTTGCAAAATAAAAATTATGTCATTTATCTTTTGTTTAGAAATAGAAGACATAATATTTATTGTTTTAACGCAAAGTTAATACTTCTACGGAAACTTAGTGTACATGTAGTTTAGGCTAAATATCTAATCGATATTTGGTATCATACTCTTTTCTATCGTTCAACAACTTGTATACTTAATGTTAATTATTAACAAAAAATATCGTATTTTAAATCGTATACTACATGTAGTAGATCATGACATTCAAGGATGTGTCTGAAATTTTATTTCTCAAAGATCTTTAAAAAATATCAAAAATTATCAATGTATCAAAGAACGAATACAAGTTCATGAATGCTTTATTTAAATTTGGCAGTGATTTAATAAAGGACTTCAAATTTTATTATATAGTCATGATTATATAAAATTCAAAGCGCTCTTCAGCAGTATGACTAGGACATTGTCATATGATGCATGTTCGTGTCAAACACCTTTCAAAACGTGCAGAACTTAGAAAGGCTGAGCAATCACGACTTATAAATGAAGAATGGCTAAAAACGACTTGTGAAATTTAATCCCAATTACCAAGCTAAAATTATTAATATTTTTCAGCAATGAAGATAAATATATAATTGCACTTAGTGTTGAATAATCAGCAAATCGATCCTTCTCTTGGTCACTATCATCTTAGACTTACATTCTCAAACCCTGGGGAGTGGAAAAACCACACTGACAGTATTATACAAAAGGCTTCCAAAGAAATTGCAGTTTTTCGTAAATTAAAAGGGTTACGTATCGTGACTTCTTAGCTTAAATGTATTCTAGTATTACGTTTATACATGTAAGACCGATACCACTTTTGGAATATGCATTAGAAGCATGGAACAGCATCTCCGCAGCTGCTCTGAAAGGCCTGATAAACTTCAGCAAGAAGCTGTACATATTGTAACTGGCGTTCCTGTTTATCGTGCCTTGCAAGATTTCAAGTATTTTGTGCTGCCACGGTATATTATTCTTAAATTGAATCATTTAACTATTCTCTGTTAAATTTTAGTTCACTATAACCTTACAACTGTAAGAAAAAAAAATGTCCACCTAAGCCAGATTTAGTACTTACGAAAATATACACTGGTCACCTTAACTCACGTGAAAGGGTTACAAAATATTAGGGAGACCAATTTTTTTGTATATTTTTACCTACAAGTTTTCTGTAAAATTTAGCGTTAAAATGGTAATTAATAAGCCCAAGTACCAACAAAAATGCATTTGGTTTTTATTTCAAAGCATAGGGGAAAAAGATAAATTTTGTCTACTTAAGCCAGATTTCATGGCATTGGTCCCCTAACCCAGAAATCAGGATTATATATATATATATATATATATATATATAAGTATATAGATATGTCATGCAATTGAAATAGTACAGAAATATAAATTTAAAAAATGATACATACGATTCGTATTTGTTTGCATGACTTAGAGAAAAATTCTCGAGAGAGACGTTAACATGCATTTCAAAAGTGTAATAAATAGAGGAAGATTTTGCAATTCTATTTCATGGAACTTTCGATTTTTGTTAATAATAATGGTGGCTTCATTAGCATGGACAATTACGATGCTTTAACCTCCTCAGTTTCTACATGTATAGAGAAAGGATCAGCAATCACAACTGCTTTCTCTATCAAAATTTCTTAATATCAAGAAGGAGGACATTGCCGTATCACATCGAGTTGGCCGCAAGTCAGCAGATAAACCAAGTCATATCATTGCCAGAATTAATAACTATGATCTTAGACACAGAATCCTAAAATCCAGTAAGAAGCTTAGGAAAATCAGCGTTATGGAAAAAGTGGCAGTTAACCAGGATCTGACAAAAACAAGAAATAAACTTGCATACCAAGCCCGACAGATTGTAAAAAAAGGTAAAGCCAAATCTACTTCTGTGTGGGATGGCAAAATTTTTATTGTTGATCACAATGAACACAAACACATGATCACCTGTTCAGCAGATATGGAAAAATTGCTTTCTCATCTAGGTATCACTCTTGAGTGCCTAAATTGACCAGCAAAGTTATATAAAAACAAAATATATTGTTGATTATTCTAACTGACTCACCTTAGTCATAGTCTCATTATAATATACAAACAATTATCAGTGTCTTTCTTATATCCGTTATAGATAACTTATGAGACCCTTATCTGTTTTAAGGATCTAAATTGTTTATCTAAATTTAGACAACATTCCTATCACGTGGTTTTTCTAAAACCATTTTTCGAACATTCAACAAATGTTCCTTCAGTTTGTAAATACGTTATTGTTTTTGTTGAATTCATATGCACAATTTTCATATATGTGTATATCTCCTTTGAAACCTGGAATTGAAAGTAATAAGTGTCTGAAGACCTACAAATTTTGGGTGTAATGTCGCAATCTTTCCTATCACATGTCTGATCCTCATTATAGATTGTTCTATATGTTTGTGTAGTTATTATATATACCTATCACATAAATGCCTGTTAGTAATATTATACATAGGATCAGGATAGGATCATACTATGATTTTTCCAAGAAACTGCAATTTAAGCATTCTTTGGATGTACTAACAATATTTATGGTGAATTTATTGATATATCACGGAATCAAGGCATTACCTGTAGTAATGTTTGTAATGCTCACTCATTCAATATTAGGTGACAAAGAGTTGATAATTAAGTCTAATACTGGGACACACCAATTTTACGAAAACCCCTTTCTACATAAATGTAGCGTTTCAATCCACAGGTTAACAGTTTTTCTTGAGTATCCACTATTTCTACTAGATAAACTTTTATACTGTATTATAGATTTATTATTATTATGTGGTGATATTGAAGAAAACCCTGGTCCGTTTGAATCATCCAATTCTACATCAGATGTATCTTTTGAAAATTCTACAGATTCTCTCGAACTTCTTCTGGAAAACTCAGTTTCTATAGTACATCTTAATGTACAAAGTTTTAAGCATAAATTAGAATATCATTCAAGCTGAGCTTGGGGGATTCGATGTATTGACT